GTTTTTGCAGCCATCATAGGTTTAAGCCACTGATATTTATATTTGGACAAACTTACGTAGATCATCCATGCTGCATATCGCTCTTTGAGGTTATACAGCACAGTGGGCTCATTGAGGTGGGTCATCATGGCCATGTCCTCAATTTTATCAAACTTCGGTGGGTTCATGGGGAAGATTTCATCTTCCTTCACGGTGAGAGTCTAAAAATGTATCCAAAAGACACATGCATGGTCAGAATGGTTATGTGTGAAGAGTACTCTGTGTCCTTTTTCAATGATGAAACCCTGCTTTAATTATACAAAACTATCACATGCTGATGAAGATTCTCGGTCATCCAGGTCATAGTCATCCCGTAAAAGTTAAAAAAAACACAAATTTCTTGGAAAACAAATCCAGTGGATTTTTTTGAACTTCTCCGGAATGACTATGACCTGGATGACTGAGAATCTTCATCAGCATATTGCACTCCATTTTGGGAAAGCCCCCCCCCCTTGGGAATAATGCGTGAGTATGAGAAATTGCTTAGGAAACTGGCAGATTATAGGAACCATCTATGTTTCAATTTAAGATGTAGACAGCAAGGACTCATTCTCAACAGTTTAAGACTGAAGTCTACTGTCAAAGGACACAGGGTAGAAAAGATTCTTAGGAATGCGCGTTCAAATCTTGGAAACCTAGTCCAGTGGATCTTTTTGAACTTTTACGGGGGAAAAAATATATATCACATCTTTATCTAATAAATATAACTATTTGTTTGACTGCAACCAACTAAGAAATCCTACTTTACTTCCATATAACTGTGTAGTGAAGAAGTGGGTAACTTTAGACAAATTTTAATATTCACAAATATGCTTTATGAGATTTGTCATTTGATTAATGTTTGATGCATTCATTTCCTTATTCTTTGCTATCACATTAAGTTTACTGCTTTTGTTTGATACTGCAATACAGGCTGTAGGTCCCCGAAGGCGATTACTCCTCAGGGCTTATTTTCAGTTCTTTATAACCTTCATCTCTATTTAAATAAGACTACAAATAACACTTCTTTTAGTGAATAACATTTAAGAAAAACAGAAACTTTACCATTATTGAATTAAAGTTTAGCTAAAACATAGTACAGTTTCAGTGCTTTGGCTCAAGTCAACCTCAGTATCAAAAGAAGGGGGGAAAAAGCCTTTTCCTGAATATTCTCATAGACCTGTGGTTTATGTTTCCAACAGGTGGTGTCTGTCTATCAGGGCATCATTTGACAGACCCAACATATCACAATCTGTGCCTCATTGTCCAGTTCCATCTTCTACCTCAGGGTCATGACCCTTTTATCCTCACCTTGCCAGTAAGGGTCTCCACTGTGGCTTTGCCGCCCTCTCGCTTTATAAGTTTCCCCTTCAGGTACATCTCAGCAGGCTCAGTCACAAAGTATGCCGTTTTAGCATCAAAGGGAGTGTTCTGAGCTTCAAGACGCTCTTTTTCTGGCTTGCGGAGGTATATGGCCGCCGGGCCAAAACACTCCATTTCTGCATCCCCACTCATGATGACGGTTTACTGGAAGAGCAAAACAACAATCCAATATTTTAATATTGTCTGTACTCATGGCTCCGCTGCAAGAAAAGGTAACCCCAAAAACATGCTCAAGGAAAAACATTCAAAAAGCATTTATCTGTTTTCCCCAAGAAACATAAGCAATACTCCAATAATGTCACAAATGAAATCCAAATTCAGATTCAAATTTTTTGTTCTTTTTTGGCAGAACTATTAATTAGCTTTATTTACCTTTTAAAACACCAATTGAGCAGAATGTGTTGTTGCTGATGTCAGGGCAAAGTTCTAGATAAAGACATAGGAATAGGTTTACTATCACCACCTGTGGAGTCTGTAATACTTGATTTAAAATAGAAAAAAAAATCAAACATCTTATAGCTGACCAAACCTTTATTATTATTTTCTACAATTTTCTGTTATCAGATTTAATATTAAAGAATGTGATAATATCTTGAAAAACGTACCTTTGCTGGGTGCCTCTTGAGGTTGCTGTTTACGGCTCCTTTTTATATAGTCTGATGGGAGCCAATCACATGTTTGTTGCTGTATTTGGTACTGTCGACTGTCACTACACTTTTTTAGAAGTGCCTGTCTCCATTGTGCCAATAGGGTTTATGGCTATCGCATGCCATTCATCGCAGAAAGGAGAAAGATCTCAGAAAATGTTTAAATTTTTAATAAAAATATTTGATTTTAATTAAAGGATTTCTGATAAAAGTTTATGTTCCATGTCTAGTTTTGGTTGTTTGGGTCTTAGACTTTTCTTTAAAGAAATTTGGTGATTCAAAACTAAAACTATTAAAACTGTTATATATATATTTTTTTATCAATGCACTTGTTGTTTATTTTTCATGCAAATGTGGTACATAGTCTAACTCTTTCTGTTTTGTAACATGTCTATGAAAAACCATACAGATGCTTGTGCAATTTTTGTGAAGTTGAATCAGAAGTTCCAAAGGTATGACTGAAGCATCTTTTTAATGCCCTCTGGCACAAAAGCAGCACTCCGCTATGCTTCTGTAAGGCTTTAAAAAGTCATCAATATCCAGTTTCAGAGTCCTTACAGGTCAGTGATGATTATAAAATAAAAGGAGTGCCTCTGAGCTTTGAAGAAAAGCAGGGATTGCCAAAGGGATTACTTCACACAACAGTGCCAACAGCTGCTCTTATTCTTCTTCTTAAGGGATACACAAGGGAGGCTGAGACAATTGCTAAATGTGGAGCAGCTGAGGGATGGCTTACAGCTCTTCTTCCTTGAGGTTTTAAAGAATAAACCAAAAATAACATGTGTTTTGTGTATATTTAAGCATGATTTTTTTTTTTTTATTAATGTCTCCAGTGTGTTAAAAGCTTTAGGAAGACGTTGCAGAGGGAAAGTGTGAGTTCAGGAGCTTGTACCCTCTGTTTTGTCTGAAAAAGGATTACATTACCCAATCACAATGAAAGAATTGCTAAAGTAGATAACTAGGAGATATAACACACATCTGAATTGTAATAAAGGCCGGGGTTATGATTCCTACATTGAAGTCTTCTGTCTTATAAGGAAAGATTTCAAATATAGCACCTGGCTTGTGTTTATGCTCAAGGAAAATACCACATGCTCAAGAGGCATATTGTGTTTTTATGACCTTGGATGTAGGTGTGTCTGCTTCTGTATTTGTCAAAGAGTAACAGCTGGGTGCAGGATAACAAACCAAGGTGATTGCTGAATAACATTCCAGTCCACCGAGTGGTTACAAACAGCATGGATTTACGAAAAAAAACATCATCACTATACAACTTTGTAAGTACTGAATAGTTCTTTATAAATACATTTGTTATGCAGTTGTAATTATAATCTGTATTTATTGTTTTCAATTTTGGTAGAAGCCTAGAGGACTTTTGAGATGTAAGATAAAAAGTAGAAGAGAAGATTTGATGAAATGTATGTGAAGTTCAAGTTTTTCCTTAAGTTGCCTGTTTAAAAGGTTCTTTTTGAAATCCTTTCAGCACCAATGGATGTGGTTTTAACCTATGCTACTGTAGAAGCAGGTTCTGAAAGTCAGGGGCGTTAGTACTTTTTGAATTCCTTTGTGTAGACCTCCTTTTTGTAAGCCTTGTATGATATACCATTTAATTAATGTTTTTAAAAGGTTGCACCTAAATATAGTCTACTGAATGGGGTGTCTTTTAGTTTGATAAATGTCCAAAGTTGTTTTTTGTTTTTTTTGTTCTGGTTACTTGTATTTCTTTTTAAAGAGCCCTAGATATATGAGAAGGTGAGAAGTCTCATTTTAATAGCTAATGACTTTATCAAGCAGACAAAGTTCATCATCATCATCATCATCATCATATAACAAAAACTAGTTTTAGATTCTTTGAAAGTTAATTTACTGCCTTTTTTCAGTCTACTGACTTTGTGTGGTCCCTTTATTATTCTTTCATTTTATTATCTGAGAACATTTCTCAGCACAACCTCATAACTTGTGTGCACTATAATTCCCTGCAAGTGCTAACGACTTGTCACACATGTGAGTATTTAGTCATGTTGACGGCTGGGGTCATTGGTTTCTTTTAAACACCAGAGGGAGCCTCAGGTTGCAGAGGTGCAAATGCGCTGCTTATGTTACCAGCCTCTCTATCATTATCATCGTCACCACCATCTTCATCATTTGTACTACACAGCAACACCAACTGTTGCAAATGCTGAATATTGTAATAACTTGTTGAAACCCTTTTTAGGTGTTGTAACAATGTTTCTGTTTATAATTTTTTTCTGTTTATCATTTTTTTCAGCGTTACCGAGAAACATTTGAATCATTGCACAAGACGTCTGCGAAGAGTCTGGAATGTTTTTGTAATATGGTATGATACTTTAACTATACTGTCTGTAAGCTATCCAAGAAGAACAAAAAGGGAAAGGATAACATTGTTTACATTGACATTGGTTTCTTGTTGAATTTCTGTTTCGGTAGAAAATAAAATCAATTAGTAAACAAAACTAACAAAACATACAAGTATTCTGAAATACTGTGACATGATCTTAGATGGTACAAAAACTATGAATTTATTTAATAAAAAGAATTACCTGATACAGCAAAAGTGTGTACCCTAAACTCCTAACCAAAATCGTAGCATAAAGCATAATGTTTCTTGCAAGCATTAACCTAACTTTAGATATTAAAACATTTTTCAAATCAGTATACAGCACTTGGAGCATCTCAATGCTTCATTTTGGCTCCTTTACTAAAAAGAAATTGCTTTTTAATCTATTGACAGCAACTTCAATTAAAAAAGTTCTTAATTTAAACTGCTGTTAAATAAAAATCTAAAGCTTTTACTAAAATAGGCTTTTCATAACCTCATTGAATCACCAATTCCTTGGAAATGTTCTAGTGCTTGGATGTTATTAGAGGAGTAAATGTTCCTGGTAGGGTTCTCCAAAGCAAACAGGCTTTAGGTGACCCGTCAAATGAGTTGTTCAATAGCCCTCATAAAACAAAGACATAAAAGCCAATGACTCATCCAGAATAGTGGAGCTGGGGCCACACTATTGAGTTAGGCCTGCGGTTAGGGCTTATTGGTGAACAAATAATTGGGTTACTCCTTGTCGGCCCTGGACTGGCCAAGCCTAAATAAGTGATGCAAGACCTTCCCACAGGGGGCCCACCCATTGCAGGGGTAATTATTATGGACCATACAAAGAGGAACCCTTAAACCCTGTGGTAGACACCGTCAGTGAGGGATGCCATCAAGCTGAAGCAGAAGTCCTATCAAGCCTGGTAGGTTTGTGGGGCTCCTTAGGCAGCTAACAGGTACTGCGAGAAAAAAAACCCATGCCTGAGCGGAGTCCAGTGAGGCCAAGAAGAAAGAGTCATGAACAAAGCAAAAAAAGGCAAACTATCTCGGTCTAATGGGTGGGAAGCAGTCCTTTGTTAAAAGCTCTTACAGTGGGAGCTGCTGACCTCAACTGAGGACATTTTCAGATAGTGGAACGATTTTTTTGAGGATCCCTTAAGCCTTGCTGTCAAGCCTTTGCCTTTGAAGCAAAGGCTGGGTGCTTGGAGTCAGACTTAACTAGGGACTTCTCGGTCTCTATACAAGTGGACCAAGAGTCTGATACCCACTGCCAAATTAAAGTATGACCTTATTCCTGGAGCATGTTGGGCTCAGGCCAGGTTTTGCTCTGTCACCAGACCTGTTCATAGCTTAAAACTTTTATGGACAAAAACATTGTTCTATGCATTATGTTCTGCACACATCTCATCTTGTAAATAAAAAAAAATAATAATATGCTTATGACCAACTCTTACATAATACCTTCTTAAAACAGTCAAAGTACCAAAGTTTTATTCACAGTTTATTAGAGTAGTCATCTTAAATCTAGAGATAGGGTTTCTAACTTCTAATTCTGACTGTTTAATCTATTGGAGGTTACTATCCTCAGAGCTCCAATTTTTATTTGACCTTTAGATTATCCCCAGATTAATGAATAGAATCTTCACATAGCAATAGCTAAAGCTACATTGCCAAGTGCAATGCAAAATATCAGATCAGGTAAAGCATTATCTCTCTGAGACTCTGGAGCAGTGATTTAAATAAATTACATATGTTTCTGGTTCAACAAACATGTATCATATATTTATATAATTTGCAGCATTTAAAACTTGACTGTTTACTGAGGTGTTGGAGCAGAATGTCTTATAAAAGTTTCAGGACACTGGCCGTTGAGGAAAAGGGGTTTTATGCCTATGTGCTAGAGATCTGGCTCTCTGAATTAAAAACTGCCAAGTTTTCTGGGAACGTTTTGGACTTGTTCCTTTTTTATTCAAACATGACTGCACACCAGTGCATTTAACAAGGTTTATCATGATATATGTTAAAACAATTTCCCAGATGTGGGTCACATTTTCCACATATGAAGGGATATTATGTTATTTTGTTCCATGTTCCATTCAACTTTTGATGATATTTGGAACTTATGATCATATTTCTCACATGTGCACCACAGATGCTTTTGCATTAGAATATCCTCTGTATAACACCCTTTTTTACATTAGCAAAATGTAAAAGGAATGTGTAATATGTTTTACTGTGTATTGTTAAAAAAAATCATGTGTTTTGCAAATATAATGAATTTTGAGTGTACATTAAACATTTAAAGAATGGACCAAGTATTTTGAAAATGTTAGGATAATTATTACCATGTCTCATGGTTATTTAATACATATACATTATGAAGTGTTATTTTAAGAGTTTGTTCAAGAAAAGCTCTGTGTCTATACCTTGAAGCTTTCTCTTCCAGTTTTTCTTTTTTTCTGAAAAGAGATCAATTGGGACAAACTCTTTAAATAACACTTTATAGCATATATGTATTAAATAGCCATGAGATATGACAACAGATTTTGATAAAAATTGTAATCTTACTCAGATCAGAGAAGTTGCTTTGGGTTACAGAAGGCAACTGCTTACCAACCGGATTCACTTCATGTGAAGTGGCTCCGATAAACAGTTAGTGAAGCATTTTATACATCTCCAGTATGCCACATCATCACACCATCACATCATACAAGTTTGCAGATGAGGAGACATCCACGGCTCCAGCTTATCAAAATATTACACTTTGCTTTTAGATCAAGAACACCGCTCTCATTCCATTCCCAAATCTTTTCCACATGCAGAATGCAGATGATAACTGTATTTCCTGACAGATGAACTGGCCTTTTTAGATAAACTACTGGGAAAAAATCTGTTCTGACATGCAGCAGGCAGGTAATATTCAGATTTAATAAACTTACACATCATCAATGATAATTATCCTAACAAGAGTAAACACTGACACCAATATGCAATGTCAAACAGTTATTCAGGTTTATTTATTTATCTATCATTTGCACCAAAAATGATACACAAACAAATGGCAGTTCCACTGACAGTAATCAGGCTCCATGTTGTTCCGCAGTAAACAAAATATATAGTCATCATTTCTCTTTCTGTACACAACATATTTTTCTAACAGCTGTCAGAATTGAAAAATTGGGCGACAGTGTTTCTGCTACAGACACATCACACCAGCTGTAATCCTTCAGTAATCAATAGTTATCTGTGCTGCAACAGACATCCTATATTGCCCTAAAGTCCAGTGGTTCCTCTAAAAACAAATGAAGAGAGTTCTTGGTCTATTTAGGTTAAAAAGGGTACAGGATTTAAAATACTGCGATAAAACTCCTTATACAACTGGCCACATCTCTTTACACAGTTTCATGAATCCCTGTGAGGTATTTTTGGAGGAACTGCATGCAGAAAGTTACTGTTCTGTCATCCAAGTGGACAAGGCTTCTGTCTTTGGAGGTTTCAGGTAGAGTGCATACAGCATTCCAAAGAGTACACTGCCCAGTGAAACCCTCTACACACCCTAAAATGAACAGGCTGACTTTAGCACATACTCACTATCGTTGTACAGCACCTGGCCCTTGGCTATAAAACTAGTGTTCAAGCCAAATATTTCCATGCTTTCCCAGTTCAAAGTCAAAAGACTTTTCTTGGCCGACTGAGTCCAAGGCTGCTCTTAGACCCAGTGACCTGGAGACCTCAAAAACATCTTAAGGTAGATGTTATCTATCATTGTCCCTGTTGTGGTTGCAATAGGTCTGTCCCCTGGTGGATGACCTTTTCCATTACTCTCATCCTGGTACCCAGGGCTGTGGAAATGATTTTGTGATCTATGCAGAAAAGTGACACAGTATACCAGTTCTATGCTTCCTGCCAATTGCCTTTTTTTGGCAGGAGGGTGATTACCCATGTACGGTATAACAGTGGAAGTGAGCCAGTGATCGGGCTTTCATTGAAAACATTTCACAGGTCCTCTGCTGTGTCCCAGTAGGCTAGAATTCCAAAGCCCAACGATGCCCAGCGCTTTCTTGGCCTGCACACTGAATGTGGAGGGGTGCTTCAACTGGATGTTGGTCCCCCTGGTGACCTGGGGTAACTCACTGCAGAACTCTCTATGCAACTTATTGTTACTCTTATATTCACTATGTAATAACAAGGAATACAACTTTACCCGTTTACTCCTGATCTGGACTGGTTCACTAAGCATTTGCTCTGTGTCTGACAGGTGAGAGTGGATCAGTTTCCTCTGCCCGCACCTTCTCTCCAACTTAAAGAAAAAAAAAAAGCTGGTATGCACATCCACTTCTTCATGTTCTGCATCCAGAACCTGTTCAATTGGCCTTGAACTGCAGTTTTCAGCAGGTTTGCCAAAAAATACCTTTTTGGTGCTTCAGTATCTTTTTATTTTCCTTTGGGTTTACTCATTTGTTTTTTTCATTTGCACCATGTTTATCTCCAGATCCCAAATAGATCTGATGTCATGATGAGAGTGCTGTTGAGACTGCAGTTTAACTTGAACATTTCCATAGTCCCACCACTGCTGTAGGCATGAATAAACTCTCTTCCTCTGTCTAAAACCACCCCAAAATAACACAGAGTCTCCATAAAACTATGGTCATAAGTTAAAGCTCAGTTAAAAATTATGCTTAAAAAAGAGCACCAGTCCTTCACCTCACCAATTGTTTTTGTCTTACTCCCCATGATTTGTCACCTTTGTTCACCTTACACTCAATTTAATTCATTTCAGTTTATTTATGCAGCACAAATTTACAGCACATGTCATACCATGGTACTTTACAGATTGGTTAAAAAATTCTATCAAGAAAAAAACATTGTGACCCAAGAAGGTGTTACATATATCTCAAAACAGCCTTCTTCAGTTTAGGTATTAGTTTTATACAGAGAGATATGGCACCAAGCAGAAAACCCAACTTACTGACAGCTGAAAACACTTTGCCTTTAATTCAGGGAGTTGTGAAGGATTAGACATTTGTTGTTTTAATATTTTATCACCAGCATATAATCAGACTGTTATATGGTTAAATTCAAACCAACATTTGTTCATTTAAAAACATTAGTCTGGTAAATGGAGATCCCATGACATCAGGATTCCACCCATCCTTTGTTTACAACTACTATCATTGCTGGGTTGCAATAGGGAACTAGTGTCTATTTTCAGTAGTCATTGGGCAAGAGGAGGTGTACCTTTGGAAAGGTAACAAGTCCATATCATGGAAAACCTAGAGACATACAGAACAAAATAACATGCACACACTCATACATGCATACAATCAAAATAACCTATTATGAATGTTTTCATAATACGAGAGGAAGTCAGTAAACCCAGAGACAACCATGTGTCACAGGGAGAACAAAGTCCCAAAGATGTTAACTGGGATCTTTCTGCAAGGCAAAAATAATATCATCCAGCATGGGGAATCATCTAATATAATAACTGCAAATACAGCTGATTATATACAACTAGATACAGCTAGAATGCAACACAAAAACCCTGCTAGATGATAAAAATACTTATTTAAATACTGAAGTTATTAGAAACTTATTTTTCCTACAGTAAATAATGTAAACCATACATCCCACTTTTATTTTTCCTACCCCTATTCCAACTCTGGTTAAAACAAATATGTGCCCACAGCAGTAAGCGCTGATGACTTGTTGATGTATTATTTATTACACACTGGGGAATATTCACGCCTCAGGAATTCAGAAACAGTATTTACATCTCAGACATGTTGACAAGGTTGACTAGAAGTCAACAGGTGGCTCCATATCTAAACAACTTGTTAATTTGCCTTCATTCAAACAAAAACTCAAATACAAGTGATCCTTAATTTACAATAGACCTATCAGACAGGAAATACATACATGCTACATTTATTTAATTGTCTTGTTGGAATTCTTTATCTCCTTCCCATAAAGTATACCATCATCCTCCATATTCTTATAGATTACACAGCAGCACATTTCTAGTGTTTGCAAAACGAAAGCAAAATGGTGACTAAGTAACTGCAACATCTTGTATAAACAGATTTTTCAAGTGCACAATTTAAGATGAATAGACATTTTCTCAATTTTTTTGGTAAAAAGAGAAGTCACAAGATATGTTTGGCCAAACAACAGAGCATTAGAAGTTATTTTATTGTCATATTTCAAAACTTCAAACAGTAAAAAGGACCAATCGTCAATGTTGTAATGCATCACATTTTGATAGCTGCATAAATTATAAAAATGTATTGAAATACGAAATACGTTAGAGAAACAAACAACAAACTTGTAAAGAAGAGTACTTACCAGGATTCAGAACCTAGCTCAACTGAACCCAATGAGCTGATGACTAAATCACAATAATATATTCAAGAATATGGAGCTTCATAGACCGGACATTCTTTTGATGAAACAGGATGCTGAAAAGTATCTTGAAAGTAATTAAGAGAGGCGTTCAAAATATTTGTCAGCCATTGCAAGTAAGAGGTTGGGCATTTGTGTGTGAGAAGCTATATTTGCTTTAGGTCCTAATAAGACTGTAAAAGAAGGCCAAACATATCGAATGTTATTTCTTGTTGCAACCTAATCATACCTCAAGAGAATTGCTTTTTAACATGGTAGGGGTTCTCCTAGCATAATGGGCCATAATGTGTTCTAAAATTAGCTTTGAGTAAACTCCTCAGCCTGGGCTTAAAAGCTTTTTTTAAACAGAGTCATTGCCAAAGATTTTGTTGCTCTAATAATTATTCATAGGAAGATGACATTATGGCATTTGTAAACACTTAGGATCAGTCTGTCCCAGTCATGAATATGACTGGTGTCTTCTTTAAATACTATAAACGCATTATGCTCAGTCTCTCTTCACTTTTAGTCTCAAATGCCTATTGGTTTTGTATAAAGATTTCTTACATGGGGTTTCAGTTTATTATTGTTTTGGCATTACAAGGGATAGGGTAACCCCACTGGTGATGGAGAGATGTGGAAGACATCTGAGACCATATATCTGAAGAGGGATAATTGACCCTAAAAGGAGGGTTGGTCCTCCATGGTCGCTGGAGATTTCAGTATAAAAGAAGCTCTGCAAGTTGGCCCTGAACTTCAGGACTGACGGGCCCCCAGGAAAGGTGAGTCTCCCACCATAGTGTAGGAGTAAGTTGTGTTCAAATATTATTCTCATTAATTGGATATTATTTTATTGTCAACATTTGTTTTTACTCAAGTGATTTTTTTTATTGCTCCTTAACCTTTCTTAGTATCCTCACACCAAGTGCATCACCGAAAGACAAACAAGGTAAATGATCACTTCTCTTACCAGAACACCAGAAAAACTCCTAAAGCCATGCATTTTATTTTCTTGTAAAGACAAATATTAATCTTTTTAATATAATTAAGTTTTAGTTTTACTTTCTTTTACAGTGGAGCCATGAGTTCAGATCCGGAGATGGAGTGTTTTGGCCCGGCGGCCGTGTACCTTCGGAAACCAGAAAGGGAGAGAATTGAGGCTCAAAACACTCCTTTTGATGCCAAAACAGCTTACTTTGTAACAGAGCAAGCTGAGATGTACCTGAAGGGTAAACTAGTGAAGAAGGAGGGAGGCAAAGCTACTGTTGAAGTTCAGGGTGGAAAGGTAGGCAGACATCTAGATGCACATGATGGAGCAAACAGGAATCTGTGACACAGAGTGTAACTCTTCACACATAACCATTCTGTCCATGCATATGTCTTGTGGATACATTTTTAGACTCTAACCGTGAAGGAAGATGAAATCTTCCCCATGAACCCACCGAAGTTTGATAAAATTGAGGACATGGCCATGATGACCCACCTCAGTGAGCCTGCTGTGCTGTATAACCTCAAAGAGCGATATGCAGCATGGATGATCTACGTAAGTTTCTCCAAATATAATTGCTGGCTCAGCAGCATTGGGTAACACACTTTTAATCTCAGCTTCAGACATCAGAAATCCAGCTTTGATAAAGCATGCATGGTAGATATCCAGAACATGACTGATCCTTCAGAGGTCTAATCTTCTGCTAGCCCTGACTGTAACTCAAACCATGCATGTTGCACTGTAATGGGCCAGAGATAGAACTGATATGCTTGATCCTATAACAGTTTATAACTATAATTCCTGGATTGAAAGGTATTAATCACTCTCCTTGGTTCTTTTAAAAAGAATTCAAGTATCCATTCACTTGTCTATCCTTAAAGACATAGCCAACTGCAACAAGTTCACAAACCACTTTCCAGATGTTTACTTGTAGATATTTTTTTCTTTTTTTCATAGATTTTGTTTAATGTTTGACTAAACACCATCTTCCACAGACTTACTCTGGGCTGTTCTGCGTCACTGTGAACCCCTACAAGTGGCTCCCAGTGTACGATGCAGTGGTTGTTGCAGGATACAGGGGCAAGAAGAGAATTGAGGCTCCTCCCCACATCTTCTCCATCTCTGATAATGCTTATCAGTTCATGCTCCAAGGTATCATTTCCATTGTTGGCCTCCAAAACACAAACTATAAGAACAAATTGAACTATTAGGAACTTTAAACAATGTAATTTATAAACCTTTATTTAATTAAGACAACATAATATGATTTAATTTGATGTAACATTAAAACATAGGGTTTTAAATTTCATTTTCTTCAACAGATCGTGAAAATCAGTCAATCCTGATTACGTAAGTAAAACTGAAAGAGGATCATTCTGAAATATTTTCTTGTTGTTATTTTGCTATGGGAGTGAAAATCGCAACCATTGTTTGCTTTCTAGTGGAGAATCTGGTGCAGGAAAGACTGTGAACACCAAACGTGTCATCCAGTACTTTGCGACAATCGCAGTAGCATCCTCTGGAAAGAAAGCTGAACCAATTCCTGGAAAAATGCAGGTAAGAAAAAAAACTTTTCATGTTAGGTGTTGGCTCAGTAGCACTGGGTAACACACTTTTAATTTGTGATACCTGAGAAAAATGTGAACCGCAAATTCCAAACATGTTATCTTGTAACTCCTTTTTAAGGGTTCGCTGGAAGATCAAATCATCGCAGCTAACCCCCTGCTGGAGGCCTATGGTAATGCCAAAACAGTGAGAAATGACAACTCATCTCGTTTTGTGAGTAAAAGTTTTTTCATGTTTATAAGTGAGATTTGGTTTTCAAATAGTACAATTCCTATAGTTTTTTTTTTTTATCTCATCCTTCAGATTTCTCTTGTAAATGGAATAAGTTTTGTTTATATAATGTTTTTGCCAAATAATTATTGCTGGACAGTTTTCAGTTTGATGTTTGATGATGGGCTGATTTAGTTATTGTCAAGATAAGAATACAAAAAAACTAATTGCTTTAACACAGTATACCAAATGTAATGGTTCCGTATTTCTACAGGGTAAATTCATCCGAATCCATTTTGGAACATCTGGAAAGCTGGCTTCAGCTGATATTGAAACATGTATGTTTTTTTTTTTTTCTTCATATTTGTATACAGGCCTGTTTTTTTTTTTTATTATACAAAGTGTAAAACCTTTTTTTGTATTGTTAGATCTGCTGGAGAAGTCTCGTGTGACGTTCCAGCTGTCTGCTGAGAGAAGTTATCACATCTTCTACCAGCTCACAACAGGTCACAAACCTGAGCTGATAGGTATGTCATTTAGCCTAACAGTACATAAAGTAGCACTGCTCTTGGGCTGTATACCAAAATACCTGAAACATTTTTTTTTCAGAGGCTCTCCTCATCACCACCAATCCTTATGACTTTCCTATGATCAGTCAGGGAGAAATCACTGTCAAGAGTATCAATGACGTTGAAGAATTCATGGCCACTGATGTGAGTAAATTCTATAATGAAACAAAGAAAATCATTGCTTGGGTTTTTATATCAGCTTGTTTCTCTGGAGCAATTGATAAAAATATTCAGCAAACAAAATTGTTTATTTGTAAAATGCAATAATATAAAATCATAAATCTTCATTTTGTATATTCATCCCTCAGACTGCCATTGACATCCTTGGTTTCACTGCAGAGGAGAAAGTCAGCATCTACAAACTGACAGGTGCTGTGATGCATCATGGGAACATGAAGTTCAAGCAGAAGCAGCGTGAAGAGCAGGCTGAGCCTGATGGCACTGAGGGTAAGAAGCCTCACTCGTGAAATGTCATCAATATAACAAAGAATATTTTACACCAACTAAAAGGTGATTCTACAACAAATAGTGGTTGTAATACTTGTTTACTTTAAGCAGTAGCTTTTGTTTGTTTAAAAATGTATTTTTTGTGTGTTTTTGTTCCATTTAGTTGCTGATAAAATCGCCTATCTCATGGGCCTGAACTCTGCTGACATGCTTAAAGCTTTGTGTTACCCCAGGGTTAAGGTTGGAAATGAAATGGTGGTCAAAGGTCAAACTGTCCCACAGGTAGCCAGCTTTTTTAAGTTTGAGTACTTGGACTTATACTCTATAATAGGTTTTAAGGATAAACCCAAAATATTAATATTTTTTTCTATCTTTAGGTGCATAATGCAGTGAGTGCTCTCTGCAAGTCTGTCTATGAGAAGATGTTCTTGTGGATGGTTGTCAGAATCAATGAGATGTTGGACACCAAACAGCCAAGGAGCTTCTTTATCGGTGTCTTGGACATTGCTGGCTTTGAAATCTTTGATGTATGTAAATCATGAATTGTCCTTTTTATCTGTGAAGCAGATCAGTAAACATCTAACAGAGTTTGTCATCTTACAGTTCAACAGCTTGGAGCAGCTGTGCATCAACTTTACCAATGAAAAACTGCAACAGTTCTTCAACCATCACATGTTCGTCCTGGAACAAGAAGAGTATAAGAAAGAGGGAATTGAATGGGAGTTCATTGACTTTGGCATGGACTTGGCTGCATGCATTGAGCTCATTGAGAAGGTAAAAACTAAGAGATATATACATTTTAATGAAATATAAGATCATCCTCATATGATGCTTGATCAACTTTGGTGTGTTCATCAACAGCCGCTGGGCATCTTCTCCATCCTTGAAGAGGAGTGTATTGTTCCCAAGGCAACAGACATGACCTTCAAGAGCAAACTGTATGACCAACATGTGGGAAAAAGTGCCCCCTTCCAGAAGCCAAAACCTGCCAAAGGCAAAGCTGAGGCTCATTTCTCCCTGGTGCACTATGCTGGCACTGTGGACTACAATGTCAATGGCTGGCTGGATAAGAACAAAGACCCGCTGAATGACTCTGTGGTGCAGCTTTACCAGAAGTCTGCAAATAAACTTCTCGCTCACCTATATGCATCCCACGCAGGAACAGATGGTACTAATTCTATACTTAAGGGCTACAAAATATAGATAAATATGCATAAAGAGGTATCACCCGCTTGGTAAACTGACATGATTATACTGCTGAACACTCTTTACAGATGCCAAAGGTGGGAAGAAGGGTGGAGGCAAGAAGAAAGGTGGCTCATTCCAAACGGTTTCAGCTCTTTTCAGGGTAAATTAGACTTTGCTATTGCATTATGACAGGATGACGTGTATGTAAATAACACTGAGTTGTTCATTCTTCTAAGAAAAGCCTTCCCCAATGTTACACTGATATGGATAAGCTATTTATTTATGTTTACAACAATAGAAACTACCCGATTTAGAGCAAAGAAACCTTCAACTTAATAGTTTTACATCCTCTCTGTATTTCTAAATGCAGAAATTTTTATTTTATCTTTTGCACAATCTTCATTTTCCTTTATGTGGTTGTAGAAATTACCAAAATGCTGAATTATTAAAAAAAAAAAAAAACAAACAAAAAAAATTTATTAAAAGAACAACTTAGTTCTGTCTGAGGTGAGAGTTGCAAAAATGTTTTGCAAAAGAATATATTCTCATTCAAAATAGAGTATTTAAAGATTGTTCTCCCTCTGTCTCATTTATCTTTTAACTTTATTGGTTTCCTTACATCTGGTTGTATGAGGAGCTTACTTTTCGTTGTCTGGGCTATAATTACAGTATTTAAACATTCTGTAAAACAGATGCCCCTATTGTGAGGTAACTGTTGCCTCTTTTGAAGAAATTCAAATATTATGTTTTTTGTCTGTTTATAGGAAAACCTTGGAAAGCTGATGACTAACTTGAGGAGCACTCATCCACATTTTGTACGCTGTCTTATTCCTAATGAATCCAAAACCCCAGGTCAGTCTGAACAAAACCTGTCCAATAAAATAAATAAATCACACAAATATATTTTGGCTCCAATGTACAGAAAGCTTGTTGATTAAATACGTTTTCATAGAAATGAACACTTTTACTTACAATTTATTTGTATTTTATTTTGCAAACATTTCACTTTAAAAGCCCTGTCAGAGACCTGCAAATTAATGAATGGCTAGATCTTGAGTGTTTGCAAAAATGATTGTTTTAAAATAGATTATGTGCTTCACCTGGCCAAATAAAGATGGATTAATTGTAAGTCGTTTTTCCATCTAATTTGGGTCTTTTAAAAATATTTTATGTATTTATTATTGAGCATTATTAACATTTCAGGTTTAATGGAGAACTTCCTGGTCATCCACCAGCTAAGGTGTAACGGTGTGCTGGAGGGAATCAGGATCTGCAGGAAAGGTTTCCCCAGCAGGATCCTCTATGGTGACTTCAAGCAGAGGTACAGATGCGGTTCCTGTACATCTTTTTTTTTTTTTTTTTTATTCTCCCAGGTATGTTGTGAATCTGATTTATTTGACCTTCTGCAGGTACAAAGTACTGAATGCTAGTGTCATTCCTGAAGGCCAATTCATTGACAATAAGAAGGCCTCTGAAAAACTCCTCGGATCCATCAATATTGACCACACTCAGTATAGGTTTGGCCACACTAAGGTACATAAGCTGATTTAAGAAATGAAATTTCCCAAACATAAATGTAGTTGAAATGTTAATATAGTGCTGCTATGTTTTCCCTTCAGGTGTTCTTTAAGGCTGGCCTGCTGGGCACACTGGAGGAGATGAGGGATGAGAAACTAGTTCAGCTGGTCACAATGACCCAGGCTCTCTGCAGAGGTTATGTGATGAGGAAGGAATTTGTAAAGATGATGGAAAGAAGGTACGCTTGTCTTGACTTGGCTGAATGAAATTCTCTGAATCTGTCACGCCTCAGAACTGAGGACCCACTATTCAAGGCGAGATAGACAGTTTGATTATTCAAAAAGCGTTTCTTAAAACAACAGGTTGCAGATCTGCAGTAGCAGCAGCTGAGGCAGGTAACTCTCGACTGAGGAAAAAACAGGTTAATGACCATGTAAATCTAACAGAGGAAGATTATGGATGTCAGTCACTAACCTGGTTTTCAAGTTCAGTCCGTGCCCAGAGATTAAGGTAGGATCAAGCTGGTGGGCTGTCAACAAGATGCGGCCGGAGCCACCCAGAGTGTCCCATATACTGCAGCCCAGAAGAACAAACAGGAGCCTGAAGCCAGGTCAAACAGATCAGAACAGGAAAATGGAGGCTCAGAGGTCCATGAATCTGAAGCAAAATCAGGCAAATTGATCAGAACAGGAACAGGCAGGCTCAGAGATCCAAGAGTCCAAAGACAATTCAGGCAACCCATTCTGATGGGAACAGGCAGGCTCAGTGGTTGAGAGGCAAGACAGGTCAGGATCAGGTGATCAGAAACACTCTCACCACTGGCTAGAGAGTACAAAAATAATTGGTCCCTGATGACTGGATCCAAGTGCCTTAAATAGAGACAGGAGCAGGTGGATCAGATGAGCAGTGTTAGACAGGTGAATGGAATGACAGACACTAACGACAACAAAATTAGAATGTTATGTCTGTGTTTTAATTATATATACATCATTTTTGTTTTGCAAACTTTGAAAGCCCACTTTTATTCGCAGACTTTTGAACTTGATTTTTTGCTCACCATGTGATTTTAAGGTCACGGTTGTGCTCAGAACTTTGACCACCTGATGTTGATTTAAAACCCTCTTTATATGTGCACTTGACTTGAATTCATCGGCAGACTGTAAATGTTTTTCAAACAATGTGAGTTTCACAGATTTGAAATACTGTGATTTGAAACTTTCCCAGTTACTGTTTTTCATCTAAGCATTTCACATGGACAGAGCAGTGAAAAAGGTTTATTTATATTTCATACATATGAAACTAGGAATATCTCTCTGCTTTATTCTCCAAGGGAATCCATTTTCACTATCCAGTACAACATCCGTGCATTCATGAATGTCAAGACTTGGCCATGGATGAAGCTGTACTTCAAGATTAAGCCTCTCCTGAAGAGTGCAGAGACAGAGAAAGAGATGGCCCAAATGAAGGAGGACTTTGAAAAGACCAAAGAGGAGCTGGCGAAGGCTTTGGCTAAGAAGAAGGAACTGGAGGAGAAAATGGTTTCTCTCCTTCAGGAGAAGAATGACCTGCAGCTGCAGGTTCAGTCGGTATGTATGAGACCAGAACCATTTGAAGTTTAACTCTACTATAGTGACGGGATGCCAACATTGATCATTTTTGTGGTTAATCTAAATTTAGGAGGGCGAAACCCTGGCTGATGCAGAGGAAAGATGTGAGCAGCTGATTAAAGCTAAAATCCAACTTGAGGCCAAAGTTAAAGAGACGTCCGAAAGACTGGAGGATGAGGAGGAAATAAATGCTGAGCTCACAGCGAAGAAGAGGAAACTGGAGGACGAGTGCTCTGAGTTGAAGAAGGACATCGATGACTTAGAGCTGACTCTGGCCAAAGTGGAAAAGGAGAAACATGCCACTGAAAACAAGGTTGGAGTATAAAAAAAAAAAAAAAAATCACATTCTGGTTCTGGATAGAATTTGTGCAAAATCTTGAACCATTATATTTATCAATACAGGTTAAAAATCTTGTAGAGGAAATGGCTTCTCAGGATGAGACCATTGCTAAACTGACAAAGGAGAAGAAAGCCCTCCAAGAGGCTCATCAACAGATTCTAGATGACCTGCAAGCAGAGGAAGACAAAGTCAACACTCTGACCAAAGCCAAGACGAAGCTGGAGCAACAAGTGGATGATGTAAATAGTAGTGTGTTTGCTTTAGTCAGCAACAATCCTGGCTGTTATACATTTCATCACATGTCGGCATACTTATACTACTCTCTGTTCTACAGCTTGAGGGTTCGTTGGAGCAGGAAAAGAAGCTCCGTATGGATCTGGAACGTGCCAAAAGGAAGCTGGAAGGAGATTTAAAACTGGCTCAAGAAACCATAATGGATCTGGAGAATGACAAACAGCAGTCTGATGAAAAGATAAAAAAGTGGGTTAAAGAGAAAAAAAATTTAGATAAATAAAAAATGTCTTTAAGTTTCCTAATCCGAACATAATACCTATATTAGCACTAGAATAAGAAAAAACATTTAATCTATTTTTGTTTTCAAAGGAGAGACTTTGAGATAAGCCAGCTACTGGGCAAGATAGAAGATGAGCAAACAATTGGTGTTCAACTTAATAAGAAAATCAAGGAACTTCAGGTAAGATGAAAACAGGTTTGGGTTATTTGTTATCATAAGTAGGAAACATATTTGCATTTTACTAATGGGTGCATGTAACAAAACTGTCACCTTTGAAAGAAGACAATTATGGAAATTTGATATATATGTTCTAAAAATGTTTCTAAACTCTAAACATTTGAATGATAAGATTTTTTGTTGAAACATATTTTGATTGGTTTCAGCAGGTAAGCAAGCTAGTTTGCTAATGGAATAAAATAAGATGTTAGAAATAAAAAAAAAGCACTATTTTAGGTGCATAATATCTAATGATCTAATTTTAAGGGTAAACATTATCCTTCTATTGGTATATCATCTTATTTACCTGCTCAAATTAAGGCAAATACACATATACTAAGATTTTTTAAATTACTTATAGCTCAGTTTTGCTGTTTCTCACCCTCCAATTTGATGACTTGAAGCTCCATCTCATTTTTTCTTGTATCACAGGCTCGTATTGAGGAGCTGGAAGAGGAGATTGAGGCTGAGCGAGCAGCTCGGGCCAAAGTGGAGAAGCAGAGATCTGATCTCTCTAGAGAACTCGAGGAGATCAGCGAGAGGCTGGAGGAGGCTGGAGGAGCCACATCTGTTCAGATTGAGATGAACAAGAAGCGCGAGGCTGAGTTTCAGAAGCTGCGCCGTGACCTTGAAGAGGCCACCCTGCAGCACGAAGCCACAGCTGCAGCTCTCCGTAAGAAGCAGGCAGACAGCGTGGCAGAGCTGGGTGAGCAGATAGATAACCTGCAGAGAGTCAAACAGAAGCTGGAGAAAGAAAAAAGTGAATACAAGATGGAGATTGATGACCTCTCAAGCAACATGGAGGCCACTGCAAAAGCAAAGGTGAAATTCATCAATTCTTATTTCTGTGAAATAACAACCAATGAACAATAAAGGTCCCACAGACAGTTTTGTTCCTAGATAACCTTGTTAATTATGTGCTCCAGGCTAACATGGAGAAAATGTGCCGCTCTTTAGAGGATCAACTGAGTGAGCTAAAGACCAAGAATGATGAGCATATTCGTCAGCTGAATGATACTAATTCTCATAAAGCCAGACTGGTTTCTGAAAATGGTAAGTGTTTGATATTTAAGGAAAAGTTAAATAAAAGGAAAAATAATTTGTAATTTTGTAAAGTTTTGGCCTGATAATACACATTTCGGAGACGATGATTAATAGCTAATAGAAAATATCACAACAGCAGTAAAAACATGCTGAATGTTTCTTCTATTAGTAGCTGATATTATATCATATTAACAGAGGCATAGTTACACTACCTTTTCAGAGAATAGTAGCTGTTTAACTGCTTTTTAAAGCAAGGAATAGATAACTCTAAAGCAAAAAAAAATTAACAGGCTTTGGCATCTTTCTAACCCTAATTAACGACATGTAGAGTGCACAGTGATAGCTTTACTAAAACCACAACCTTCAATTTTTATCTCCTAATTCTTTTAAACTGTGTGAATTGCAAGTTTTCCAACAATCATATTCTTTATTAGCTTAAGTATAAAGTCCAAAAGCAGAAAACAACAAAACAACATAACAAAAACGTGGTACTCCTTTAGCCTTATTGTTATTCACAGGGAGTTTTCTTCTCTCCATGGATGACCCACAAAGATGTCTTGACATAACGTGGAGATGCTCTTTTAAATAGCTTCTCTTAACTCTTCCTGTAGCAGCTGACCTTCAGGTTAAGGATAAACTTCTGCTTGTTTTTTCAAGGTGAAATCAGTCGCCAGCTAGAAGAAAAAGAGTCTCTTGTTTCTCAGCTAACAAGAGGAAAACAGGCCTTTATGCATCAGATTGAGGAGCTCAAAAGACACCTTGAAGAAGAAATTAAGGTATCAAATCCCTCCTTTTTTTGTAAAAAAAATATATTATGAGTTAATAAAAGCAAATAGCGCATATTGTTACCTACATTTGTATCTTGACCCATTTAGGCCAAGAACGCTCTGGCTCATGCAGTTCAGTCGGCTCGTCATGACTGTGATCTGCTGAGAGAGCAGTATGAAGAGGAGCAGGAGGCCAAAGGTGAGCTACAGCGTGCTATGTCCAAGGCTAATAGCGAGGTGGCTCAATGGAGAGCCAAGTATGAAACCGATGCCATTCAGCGCACAGAGGAGTTGGAAGAGGCCAAGTAAGTGTTGATTTTTCATAAGATTATGATTTGAAAGAGCAAAGTTTTAGAGTTTTAAATAAAAATTAAAAACTCTATGCAGGAAAAAACTTGCTCAACGTCTCCAAGATGCAGAGGAGTCAATTGAGGCTGTGAATGCAAAATGTGGTTCTCTGGAAAAGACCAAACAGAGGCTGCAGGGTGAAGTGGAAGACCTGATGATCGATGTAGAGAGAGCTAATGCTCTGGCTGCTAACCTGGACAAGAAGCAGAGGAACTTTGACAAGGTTAGACGTTTTGATGGCTCAGAGGTATAGCTGTGGAGCTGCGAAAGAAAACAAAACTTACTGTTTATTTTCTCAGGTTCTTGCTGAATGGAAGCAGAAGTATGAGGAAAGCCAGGCTGAGCTGGAAGGAGCTCAGAAAGAGGCTCGAGCTCTGAACACTGAGATGTTTAAAATGAAAAATTCATATGAGGAAGCTCTAGACCATCTGGAGACCTTGAAGAGGGAGAACAAGAATCTTCAACGTATGAGAAAAACCGTGCATGTCTCTAATGTGGCTTAAACTCCACAAATTATATCACTAAACAGCATTTATAGTTGTTAAATAGTGGTTTGCTATATATGTTTTTTCTTTCATCAACAGAGGAAATAAGTGATTTAACTGAACATATTAGTGAAAGTGGAAAGACGATTCATGAACTGGAGAAGGGCAAGAAAATGGCAGAAAATGAGAAAGCAGAAATCCAGACAGCCCTGGAAGAGGCTGAGGTAATTAGGATAACATGTTTGGTAGAGCTTTAAAAAAGAAGAACTCTTTCACTGACAAATTTACTTTTCTTTGCAGGCTACATTGGAGCACGAGGAGTCCAAGATTCTCCGTGTCCAGCTGGAGCTCACCCAGGTGAAGGGTGAGATCGACAGAAAAATTGCAGAGAAGGACGAGGAGATCGAGCAAATCAAGAGGAACAGCCAGAGGGTGATGGAGTCCATGCAGAGTACTCTGGATGCTGAGGTCAGGAGCAGAAACGATGCCCTGAGAGTCAAGAAGAAGATGGAGGGAGACCTCAATGAGATGGAGATACAGCTGAGCCACGCCAACCGACAGGCGGCTGAAGCCCAGAAACAGCTGAGAAACGTCCAGGGACAGCTTAAGGTAGCACAGTTGGTTGGATAAGAGTTTCTCTGACATCTGAAAAAGGACAGCTTTGTTGTAAATGTATTTTCATTTGATCATAAGGATGCACAACTCCACCTTGATGAAGCTGTGCGAGCACAAGATGACATGAGAGAGCAGGTTGCCATCGTGGAGCGCAGAAACAGCCTGATGGTGGCTGAGATCGAGGAGCTCAGAGCTGCTCTGGAGCAGACGGAGAGAAGCCGAAAAGTGGCTGAACAGGAGCTGGTGGATGCCAGTGAGCGTGTCACACTGCTGCACTCTCAGGTACACATTAATAAAATGGACAAAAAAAATACATATTGGTCCAACTTCTTTCATAGAGTTCAACAGAACTGATATAATTGCCATTTATTTATAACTCCATCTGAACTGTACACAAAAAAATCAATCCAGCCCTCGTTTCTTTTATGTCCAAAATGTTGGTGTGATATTTAATTTCTCTCTGCTCTGTTTCCAGTTTAAATCCATAGATAACTAGCCAGGTAGCACAGGAACCAGAGCAGAGGGTAACACAAAACTTCAGAAAAGAATGAATAGAATCCAACCACAAGTAACTTCAGAGAAGGAGAATATATGCGATACAGAAACATGGAGGGAGTAATCAACTAATTGGGTGCAGGTGTGGACAGAAGTAGCTAGAAGGTAGCTGAGGGAAAATGAGAGAGAAGTGCTAGGGGGCAACAGAGTGTAACCGGGGAATACAACACGGCTTAAATATAACTTAGAAAGGCCTAAAATGCAGCTTAAGGGGAATAGACTGAAAATAACTTAAGATATGCTAAGAGACAATGAAACAATGAATAAGGACATACCGGTAGTAGAGAAATCACCAAATGGGAATAGCTAGAAGTAAAGAAGAAGTAATTCAAAAATGATATACATGTTAATAGTTAACATAGGATAACATAAAGCAAAGCCTTATTAAAAACCCAAAGGGAAAACTTAAACAGAAACCAAAAACCAGAGCAGCACATAATTTTTTTCCAAAATTCTCATACTAACATACAAGGCACTAAAGATCTAACCTTGTAATCTGCTGCTCACTGTCTTCATTCACAGGCTCTGAGTTTTTAGTTGTTACTCATACCAGGCTTAAGACAAAGGGAGTGAGCCTTTCAATCTACAGCACTTAGGCTGTGGAACAGGCTTCCTGTGTAGTTCTCTCTGTGGACTTTTTTTTAAAAAGCTGGTAAAAGCTTGTTCACACAGGCCTTCTGTTTTCAACTTTCATCCCTGGTTGTTTTATATATTTTCTGTATAGAACTTTAAGTCAGTATTGTCTAAGAAATGTGCTTTACAAATAAACTTTTGGTGTTATTTCAGAATACCAGCCTCATCAACACCAAGAAGAAGCTTGAGGCTGACTTTGTTCAGATTCAAGGTGAGGTGGAGGATGCTATTCAGGAGGCGAGGAATGCTGAAGAGAAAGCTAAGAAGGCCATCACTGATGTGAGTTGCCTAGTTTATTCATTTTGCAACGATTGACAATGGATTTTATCTACCATCTATATATATTTATATATAAGGAATTTATTTTATTCCTATGACTTGTAATAAAATGAAATATAGGCTGCCATGATGGCGGAGGAGCTGAAGAAGGAGCAGGACACCAGCTCCCATTTGGAGAGGATGAAGAAGAATCTGGAGGTCACCGTGAAGGACCTGCAGCACCGTTTGGAAGAGGCTGAAAATCTGGCCATGAAGGGAGGCAAAAAGCAGCTCCAGAAACTGGAGGCCAGGGTAATATGCGTAAAATTGTACTTTTTTAAATTTCTATTATTTAATGATTTGCCATGATATGTTCCTTAAGGATTTTTTTTTTTTTTTTGTATGAGACCTGTAAATTTGATCTGATGGATTTATTTTCCTTGGAAGGTTCGGGAACTGGAGGGAGAGGTTGAGGCAGAGCAGAGACGTGGAGCTGAAGCCATCAAAGGTGTCCGCAAGTATGAACGCAGAGTGAAAGAGCTCACCTATCAGGTACGATAGAAAAATGTCTTTTTGCCATTCTGACAAATCTATTGATTCAATTTAACAGAAAACAGCAGCTGTGGGTCACATATTTTGTTTTATGGGGAAATGCAGCTCCCTTTTTTTATCTGCGCTAAGCATGCATGTAGAACACATGAAAACCCCTAGAGGGCATGAGTCACAATCTTATGTCTGTATGGTTTAGCGCTCTAAAAGTTGTCCACATGCCATCATTAAAGGTAAGCATTTTAGTTCTGATTTGGTCCTAACTCAAAAAAGTGAAGAAATGTTTGTTTAAAGCTGTAGGAATATCAAATGTACTCAGGGTTTCTCTGTAGTATGAAAACTTTTGGATTTTTAGCGTTTTAGCGCTGCATAAATACTGAAAAACTAAAACTGAGGTATGAACTGTATGACATTTCATACACTGTTGTTTTTTTCTATTTTCTACAAGAAAAAACTATGAAAAATAAAAAAAAAAATTGTTTTGAATGAATCAATGTTTTTTTAATGATTGACTTGCAAAAAACATCATTTATCTTCAATTTACCATGTCTCAGCTTTTCTTCAAAACTTTTCGCATTTATCTCTGGCATTTAAAATCACACTTATTTAAACATCTCTGTAAATGAGGGTAATGAACTGTGCTCAGCCCTGTCTGTGGTATCTAAGCATTATGGATAAATTCACTGAAATATTCTGCTCCTAAAAGTTGCTTCAGGGAGAGAATTAATTGCTGATCATGTTTAACACCTGTGGGGAAAATTTGTGATGCTAAGAGCTGGTTGCAGGGAAACCCAGATTGGTTAACAGATGTAATTTATTAATAAATAATAGATACAGAACAGAAAGAGAAAATCTAATTAACATTGCCCGAAAGCTATCTTTTATTGTGGGGAAAAAATAAATAGTTACATCAGTTTGTTGAATTTGAATGTTTTCTAATCTCTCTGTAGATACATGGATTATCTTGGACTTTAAACTGTGGCTTGATGTTGCATACATTTTACCTGTATGTTAAAAATTCTATATAAAACTCTGACTTTAAAATATGTATCACATTTTGTATGCACCATAAAATCCTTATTGCGATTATTATGGATCAGGAAGCCTTGGCGATCCCTGAAAATCTGTTTCTTCCTAATTCTACAATTTTAAACTGCATCCATCTGGCAGTGTTTTGCATAGGTGTCACTGTGGTAATAAAATGTTTATGGCAATCAGTGTGAATACCTCCCCACTGGTTAAATTTATGCATTGATTTCATGTTCTACTCTACGCAGAGTTTCTACACCAAGTTTGTTTTTAATTGATCAGAGCTTTTGCGGGGAACAAGAGAATTTCAATTTTCAGACCTCATTTTGTGCATAAGTCAGACCCCAAATGAGTACTTTAGTTTTGTGTTGTTTCATCATTTTTTGGAAAATAGAGATAATAAAACTGTTAAAACTGTTTTCTGAAATGTCCTAGTTTCACCAAGAAAAGTGAGAAACGAATGCTGCACAGAATTATCTTCCTTAAAAAACATTGTATATTAAATATATTTCAATTTTACCATCAGCTCTTTTACCATTTCTTTATTTGTTTGTTCACACATGCTGCTCTCCTTTCTGGCTCGTATTTAATTAGACCTATCTAATTACATTAGATTATTAAACTATTGTATGAGTTTTAAAGTAGATATAACCTTATTTTTATAACAAGTAGTGATTAAGTGGTTCTGCTCTGGGCTGCCCCTAGACTGAGGAGGACAAGAAAAACATCACCCGTCTTCAAGATCTGGTGGACAAACTACAGCTGAAAGTAAAATCCTACAAGCGTCAGTCTGAGGAAGCTGTGAGTGTGAAGTATTCGACTCATGCGAAATAAATTGGTGTCGCACCAGCAACACCCTAATTCAAAATGTGTCAACAGCCGCCTACTGACAGCCTCATGAAAAATGATGCTGTCAGTTGGGAGAGCAGTGGAAGAGATATTTTAAGAGTTTTTTTTCTGCTTTCCAGGAAGAGCAGGCCAACACTCATCTTTCCAGGTACAGGAAAGTTCAGCATGAGCTGGAGGAGGCCCAGGAGAGAGCTGACATTGCTGAGTCTCAGGTCAACAAGCTGCGGGCCAAGAGCCGCGAAATGACCAGGGTACAATCATAATTTATATGCAATTCATCACATAAACCTTCATTCTTACTCTGATAAATCTAGCATTTATGATCCACTAATTTTATAATGCTTATTTTGTTTATTTAAAGGGAAAGGAGTCTGAAGAATGAACATGAAACGGATTGATGCACAGGCCAGGAAATCATAAAATATGATGTTTTTGTCCAACCTGGCAGTCGTGAAACAAGGAATAAACAAACAAAAAGCAACATCTTCTTTGTGTTTTTTTATTTTTATATTAGACAAGTATAAATCACTTAAACTGGATGCATTGTACCAGTTCCTTTGTCTGTGGTACTAAACCAAATTATCTGAATAATACAGGTATTCTGTAATGCTGTAAGGTAGAACATAAATTACACTTTCGAATTATATTATGCTCAAAGATAATCAACAAAATACTGCAAATAACAGAGAAAGCTTTCATATGTTTTAATTAAAAAACAATCATTCAATTGAATTAGAAGCTCATTCAAACTCATGCAATTGTTTACAAAAGAAATCAAAAGGCTACAAAGCTTATACTAAGTAAATAACAAGCATATGTGAAAATATGAGCAGAAGACATTACTCTTACAAAGGAACCTGGTGGTCAAGCTTCACTTGTTATCCAATAAGATTTCTTCAGCCTTACACTAACTGCAAATCTCCACCTTCTGGTGATAATTTTACAGATGATCCAAGTAACCTTACAGCTTTTGTATGTGATTCAAAGCATATGTTGCACCCTGTCAAGCTGTTGGTATAAAAATAGACCCGTTAGACTTCCAAGACTCCCTGAAGCCTGCCTGCATGCTTAGACCAAAGCTCTGACGTCCTTAAAAACAAAGGTTAAGAAATGAGTATTTATCAGTGCAGCTAATAGTTTATATGAGGGCATGAAAAAGTCACATCTTCGATTTAAACTAAAGATGAGTCTCTGTTTTAATGCAAAAATAATATTCTAATAATTCTAACCCAGACAGAGCCGTTGAATTCACAACTCAAACAATATTTGGTTATAATAAGCCCAAGATTATATTTGCGCTCTTCGGTATTCAGGTCCCATTTAAGACACATCCACCATTTACTATCGTTAACCTTAACACCTCTTTAACAACTTGACTGGCTGTAAGATATGCACTTTAAACATCTTGTTTCATGATATCCTTGTAAGACAAGATGGACCAAAACTTTTCATTTAAAATCCTCATACTGTAAATAATTGCAGACTTACCCATTTGGTCAGGCAGTCCATATTTGATGCAAACTGACCAGACTTGAAGGTGTGGTCAATTGGTACTCATTGGTGCTTAGAGGAAATCACAAAAAAAGGTGAAAGGCTCTGCTATTAATCTGTTTAAAAAATAAGACAGACACAACCAGTAGAGACATGCCTATACTATGAATATTTCCCTCTCTATAAGGAGGAAGTTTTTTTTATTTCTCAAAGAATGAGTATTTTAACTTTAAACTTTTGAAAGCGATATTCTCTAACAACTCTAAATGATTGCAATTAAAACATAAAATTTTGAGAATACTGTGGAAAACATTTCAATAAACATTGGAAAAATCTTTAATAGCGTTACAGCAATCAAACCTCAGGAAGAATAGGCTCTACTGTCTTAGAGATTAATGGAGATCTTTAAATAAAGAAACCCTAAAGGTAGCGTAACATATTTTTGTATTGTATTTTGATAACTAATCTTTGGTAAGGAACTTATTTTAGCTTTTAGCTTTACCTACTCGCCAAACCCTGAACCTGTAGCTCTGTAACAGGTTCTCTCAGCTAAATGCTGTAACTTTGGTTGGGTCACTCCAAAATATTACCTTAAATTCCAGTCACGACAAAATAAACGGTGCAAAATTTGTTCAAAATTACCTAAAAGATCAACTGAGAGATGTTAGAATTTTAGGGCTTGAAAAGATCCATTTTAGTTTCTTAATATTTAATATTTTAAAATCAATAGAAACATCTGTATACCTCTCTTTAACATGTAAAAAAGGGGGTCCAATCTGATATGAACAGCCTCTCTCCCAAGGTTAAGGAAAGTCCACTGTGAATGCTTGTGTTTTATATCAAAGGCTGTTCTACAAAAAGCTCTGAGGCACAAACAAATGGCTGAGCCCCTTGTGCATTGCTGAGGAGATGGCTATATTTGTGTTTCTTCCAAATAAGCGCACTCGGTGGGCAAATGAGATCATGTATCACGTTTTTATTTCATATATAGGACTATTTTGTCAGGTGTGAAGTCCTCAGAATTTAGCTTCTAATGCCCTCAACCCCTACTTAGCCATTTTAGTGTCATCTTACAGAATGGAAAGAATGTGAACTACCACCCATAGTATAACATGATCCCCTCCTTGTCTGGCACAGGGAACAAACACTTGACTTAAGGAAAGGTCAAGCTGCATGCCGGGCCTTGTCTTCGTTTCATCTGTCCGGACATGTGGCACAACAACACCATTTAAAGAAAGGGTTTAAAAATATATTTATGCCCTCAGGAGAACATGTCTTGAGAAACAAATCTAAATCACCTGTTCTCACACAGATTCCAGGATGGGACTTACAGTTCCATGCCCTTCAAATATATCTAGAGACTCACAAGGAGCAAAGGATAATGGTTTACGTGACAGCAGCTGTGTTAGGAGCAGCACAAGAATAGGATAGGTGCTGCTGTCTTTTCAATAACTTAAAAAATATCCTAATCGTCCTTGAGCCGGTACCTCGGACTTTGTAAAGCACTGAGCAAAAGGTCTTAAAACTAAAACTCTGTCTGTCTGTCTGTCTGTCTGTCTGTCTGTCTGTCTGTCTGTCTGTCTGTCTGTCTGTCTGTCTGTCTGTCTGTCTGTCTATCTATCTATCTATAGGATAGATCTATGTATTGTCCATCTGTTCATTAGCCTTAAAAAAAAGGACTTGCTCAGAAAGTTCTTTGGTCTGGTGAGTTTAAAAATAAAAATGCAACAACATTCATTCTATCTTTATCTTTTGAACAAAACATGAAATCAAAATCTAGAAAATGCAAGTTCATCCTTGCTGATATGTTGACTTTAGGGTCAAACTAGCAGCTGGGCACTGCTCATTAAATACATTGAATTGAGTCATCATTAACAGGAGCGATCCCCTCTATAGAGCCAGGTGTTCATATCAGAATCAGAATAATAATATATGGAATAATCAGAATTGTTTATCGATAATAATCATGTAAATGTCATTATTCATATCTTACATAAAACAATCCTAAGGTCTCAGTTAGAGGGCAATATTTTTGAAGTTGATATTTGTACAGTCTGCAACTTACCAAAGCAAGTTTTTTTGGGGTGGGCGGGGGTTCAATTTAAAAAGAATATGGTTTTTATTTATTTTTTTACCACATCTGTACTTAAATACAATTTGCCTGGTTAGAATCAGTCTTTAATCCAAGAGAATAGATGGAGTAGAAAGATACACTAAGTGCATCAGAGACCTCTGAAGACATCTAAACCTTCTCATCTAGTATTTACTAATGCAATTTCGTCTTGAAATGGCCTGACTTTCCCTGAGACAGAAGAGCAGGTCCCTCTTAAATTAGTCAGACTCTTCCTCCTTTCATTTATGATTACTTGTTATGATTTTTTGTTTATATTCTAAAACCTGAATTAACGAGATGCCCAACTAACATATTTCCAGGTAAAGGGTGTGGTTATTACTTACATTAGGGTAAAGCTGACTTAGAGTAGTAGTAATGGATGGAGCTTGGAGATCAGGTGCATTAAGGTGACCAACAGGAACAGAAAACGCTCAATTTCAGGGATCAGTCTTTCACATTAATGTTTGGAAAGGGATTCTTAAAGGAATAGTGCACCCAAAACATGATTAGCCTTCATTTTCTACTCACCCCCATGCTGAACAACACTCTGGAGTACTTTTTTGATATCTCAAATGCATCTGGAGATCTGGGAGGCTTCTTGCTGTCTGCTGACATTCAAAT